GCTGTGGGCCCCCTTCCCTGAAATCGTACAACATAGCACACAATCTTTAATACGTGTTAGCTCTGTAAATGGAGACATAATACTCTATTTAGAAGTTCAGAGATATCCCCCATCCAGTCTGAGGGAAGAAAAAAATACCCAATACAGCATTGATGGTTCACTTTCTTGTCCACTCAAACACACTGCTATACTCATTAAATGGATTATCAGGTGTGTTAAAAGTCCTGATGTAATAGCACAAAAGTTCCTTATAAAAAAGAAGTTGCAAAATTATTAAAAAATTCTGCAGCAGTTCAGGCTCCTTATGTGGAGCTTGGGATGACAAACAGGTTCTGGTAAGTAGTTTTTGACATGCACAGCAGCTTCCCCCCTACAAGTCTATGTTCGAGGGTTCCATTTAGACACAAGAATGAATTCAAGTTAGGGCTCTGCTGACAGTGTGTTATCCATCAATAAGATACTACAGCAATAAAGGAATTACAAAACATGTTAATGTCATGAATGAACCTCAAAAATATTATGCTAATGAAAGAACCAGATGCAAAGACCACATATTGTATGATCCACTGATTGAAATGTCAGGAAAGCAATTTATAGAGACAGAAATATAAAGATTAGTAGTTGCTTGGAGCTGGGAGTAGCACAGGGATGACTGTAATAATGAGTATGAAGGATCTTACTGGAAGGGATGAAACCTAAACTAAGTAACGTTATATCTGTACCACTAAAGAAAGTTACTAAAATCACTGAATTAACACCTGAAATGGATTAATTTTATGATATGTTAAATATGCCTCATTAAAATTGTTTTTAAAAAGGACTCCTTTGCTCCAAAACCCACCTTCAACATTTTGAAAGCCACATCCAAGGACAGGATTACACTTAGTGTTGATTTACGCGTGAAATATTTACTATTTATAGTAAATCATTTTAGTGACTATAAATAGTAAAATATTCAATCTATTATCTCAGTATTTTATAGTATAAATAGCCTAGAATGTTTATTCTTTTAAGTAAAGGTAGCTAGTAAGAAGGTAGGATTGGAGAAGAAGCTCAGCAATGTCACAAATGAAACTGAAATAACAAAATCTGAAGGGGCTTTTTTTTTTTTAAATATATTGACCTGTCTCTTACACATTTCTTCTGCTGGAAACAAGGAATGTGAATCTCTTGGCTGACACCCTGTAGAGATCAGTGTAACCAGCTGTCCTATTCCCACAACTCCCCTAAAAACTAGACTGACTGGGAACAGCAGCAGGGGTTGGGCAGTGAGGGCAGAAGGCTAAGTAGTACACAGGAAACTTGTATGTTTCCTTGGGTTGGCTTTCTGCTCCCCTGTCCCTGTCACCAATAGCAGCTTCAATACAGAAGATTAAAACACAGGAAAAAACAACAACAAAAAAACCCTTTCCAAATTGTGACTAGCCAATTCCAGGGATGAAATTCACAAGGCAACAGAACAGTGGTGGCAGAAGGTACTCGGGGTACCATACAGTGGCGAGACCAGCAGAACTAATGATCCCAATGGGCAAAGAGCAGTGAAATGATTCACATAGGCAATTGTGGGCGGAGGAAGGAGTGCAAGATTCCCTATACACCAAATCAGGATCAATACTGTTTTCTCCACCCACTTCCCAAACTAATGATGTTTACATTATCCCAGAGAAGAGTGGCCACAGTCTTTCCAAATAGGTGGACATCTCCAAATCTTGGGCAGATCTGTCAGGTCTCTACTGGTTTCCATACCTCAATATCAACTAAATGCAGAAAGATTATTAGCCTGTAATGGTGGGACCCTTATTGAAGAAGTCCTGCCCTTCCAATCACAGCAGGGTAGACTGCATGGGGTTTGCAGCAGTCCTAATGCAAGAAGATTTATTCAAGCTGTTTTCTTTGGCTATCTCTTCACACAACTTGCCTCTCTAACACGTGTTAACTGCTAGAGTATTCACCTGACTTCCTTACTTACCACCCTCTCCAAAATCAGGCAAAATTTTGCCATTATAACAATAAGCAATTTGGAAAATGCTGCTTAGTATTTCACTAAAAACATTTATTTTTAAGACATGGTTAGCATTATAACCGTAATTAAAGAGATCTCAGCTGCTAGGACTTTGGAAACTAAGGATGCTACAAAGGTCCAGCCTTTTCTTTATAATCTCTTCTGGTTTGACCTTATGTGATTCTCAAGTCAACTACTGTAGTCAGAAACTGGCCCAAATACCCAGCTGCCTGTGTACAGGCTAGACTGTATCCTTGAATTTTCTGCTGCAGTTCAAAGGCCTGGAGAAACTGAAAAGGCATTCCTTTACATTTGTTTTCCCTTGAAGAGAAACAGAGAAAACTATTTTCATCTTGGAGTTTTAGAGCCAAATAAATAATTAGGATAGTCACAATAATCAGAAATGAATCACTAATAAACTAACACTGGGACCAGCCAGATCGGCAACTGTTAAAAATACATGTTTCATTTCTATACAAATCCTCAAACTTCCAGTTGCCAATAAAAAAAGGTAGAACAGAGTAGGGCTGCAATTCAACATCAAAATTATCACTTATAAATACAAACTCACCATTAAAGGGTAGAGGTGTCCAACTTGGCTTGCACCCAGAATTTCTTCTATAAGGAAAAGTCTGAGACAGACATAGGCTTCCAGCCTTTCCCCTGTGAAGCTCCAACAAGACCCACATGCATTTTCTGTTAAGGTGGTGGCAAACTCTAACTATAGCTGAGCCTGTAATGTGGGTGATAATTGTGCTCTCACCTCACAACATACAATAGATGGCAAAAAGTTGGGCTACAAAAGGAACTGGATGCACAAATCTTACCTAGTATAAAAGGAATCACCTGCTAGCTGCTTCCTAAACCTGGATTCAGCACACACTGTCTGAATAGGACTGGAACCTCCAGCCCTCAGCTTCCATGCTCCACTAGCAGGAAGTTTCCTTAGTCCTGACCAAATATGCCTTGTGAAACCATGCTGAAAACTGACCTTTGAGATGGACCAGCACAGCAGAAGGAAAGAAGAGCCCCCTTCTTTCTGCAATCCCAACACATTTCCAAATCAGACTAATGGAGACTAAAGGAGGACAAGCAGCCTCAGAAGAAAGAGATTTCCTCTACTCAAGCATCTCCAATGCCCTCTCTTTATCAGAGGCAACAGTCCCAGGTAAAAGCCAAACCTGGAATAAAGAAGTTTCTTTATTCATAGTCCTCCCTGAAAAAGAGTTAATAATTTCATTCTCTCTGCTTTGGGGATTAACATATATGTCTGGACAATACAAGTTCCCTAAGCTACTCTCCTATGACACATGACCTAACAAGGAAGGCCATTTCTCAAATGGTGCCATCTCATAGAATCAAGTGAGGAAAAAGATGTGAGTTTGTACTTTAAACCTGGCATTGACATTAGCCTGAGGCTGTTCAAAAGTCAATAAGGAAACTCATAAGAAAAAGAATTTCTTCAGCTTTCTAGACACTAGTCCTTTCCTTCCAACCTCTGTCCCACATCCACATACTGAATTTATACTGACTTTATTTCAAGTTACATGATCTTTTCCTTATAGGCCTATTACACAGTACAGCAGCAGTCAGAGAGAAGCCACTGTCATGCTCAGGCCTCTGCAAGTCCTTGTCCTGGGAGAATGGCCAGGACTGCATGTACTTTCTTTTACATACTATACTGCCACCTACATCTCTACATACAAAGGTAGCTCTTGGTGCCCACTTTAGTTCTTTAGGAGTATCAACAAAAGACCCCAGTGAATTACAGGCAGGAAAGACAAAAGGAACACACCCAGAGAGGCCAACCTACTAAGAAACTCACAAAGGAAATGTATGTAGGAACAGTAATATTGTATAATAACTGAAAATATCCTAGAGGGTCAGGTAACAGTCACATGTCAAGCACGACTCACTCTCCTGGGTTGTTTTTGAGTTCCTTTCCACAATTCTGTTAAGATGTCAACAAGCATCCAACTGAACTGAGCTTCTTGCTAGTGTCCTGAAAACTATATTTCTTTGAAAAATTGCATATAGTTGTCTGATAAAGATACCAGGAGGACCAAGTGTTGACGGGGGCTGGAAAAGAAATAAAGTATCCAAATAAACTTAAGACACAACTAACAGGATTCAAAAGGATGAGTTCTCTAGCTTATGTGAAGACCAGCACAGATGGCCTCTCATATGGGGCCTTTGGTAACAATATCTTTTCTGAAAAACAGAGTAGAGTGGGGGAAAGGAGACAGGGGAATTAACACCATGAGGGAGGAGGTGGCAAATCAACCCTAGTGCTATTACTTGTAAATGGTGAGTCCAATGGTAGCTGTAACCAGAGGCTTAAGAATGGGACAACAGATCCCTCCTCCTGTTTCCATCCCTTCCCCTCCTCCTCCTTCCTTCAAAAAAAAAAAAAAAAAAAAAAAAAAAAAGAAAAAAAATAATAAAAAGAAAAAAAAAAAAAGAAAAAAAAAAAAGAATGGGACAACAGTAACTAAATGACTCAAGTGACAACCATCAACATAGCCCTCCCATTCTGATTATAACTTTCATCAACCATACAAAGAGTTACTATAAACCAAGTACTTTAAGTCTGTGTTTTCTTGAATGGGTTCAGGGCAGGGAGACATGGGCTTGGTAGGCCACTGGCAATCTCAGTCATGACAGGAAACCCCAGGGGTCAGGGAAGTGGAGCCTCATATTCTGGTTGTACCCCCTGCTGCTTCTGCTCATCCCTCTTCTCTTCACTTAACGTATTCCACAAGTAGCTCTCCAGGTCTTCACACTGCCTCATAAGTATACAGCAGGGTGAGAAGGGCATTTCTTAAACACCCAGTTTTTCTTGATCAGCTTATTTTGTTTAAACACACACAGCAGAACATTCCTAAGAAGGGGGGAAAAAAATGCAGTTTCCTTAACTAGAGCTAATTAAAAAACAAAACAAAAAGGGAAACTGCTTCAAACAAGTCAGTAGAACAAAAGAGAAATACTCAGAGGCTTGTAGAGTAAGACTGAGCACATTACTCAGAGTCACAGTATCATTAAACCACCATTTCCCTTCCCTGCTGTGTACCCCTCGCCCGCCCCACCCCCCCTCTTCAGCTCTGCATTATTGTGCATCATATCCCCACATGTGGAGACAGACAAGTCCTCCTCAAAGCTTTCTGTAGGCTCAGTACTTCACTCCTGGAATAAACTCCTTGGCATCTGGGTTCAGGTTACTTTTGCTCTGGAAGAATGAAAAGATAAATATTAGTAAATCCCAAAGCAAGCTGCACTTTAAAATTTATTTCCTCCCTGTTTCCATTATTATCAGTACATTCCCCTTAACTTTAGGGAAAGAAAGAAAATTCATTATAACTGAGGCTGTCATTGATGGGCTACTCTCAATAGATCCTGTCATACTTAGGCCTGAGCAAGCTCATTGTGTTCTTCCTGCTTTAAACTCCTGTTTCCTTACTGATGCTTGCCAAAATCACATCAGAGGACTGTAAGTTCGATTCCAAAAAGACTTTTGCAACCACTCTGGCTACACAACCTCTATTTTTTTTAACCTGCTGTACTCTCTTTGGTTCTCTATTCCCTTGTGAATATCCAAAATCTTAGCAAACTGCAGGGCATGATCATTCGAATGTGAGTTATGTGAGAACTATATTGCTTACAGAATTCTGATATTCCATAAACATGTAAGGAAGGAAATTCATTTACCTGGTTTTCTAATTATAAGTGGAAGACGGACCCTTAGGATTACGTTACTTCTAAAATGAGCAAATAATTTTTATAACAATCATTCAGAACTATATTAAATACAAATTTGGGGCATAGTAAAAGAGAAGGACAGCAACAAATGGTAATTTGAAAAGAAATCTCTTCACTGTTCAAATTTTTATCCTTAATTTCAATTCTACTTTGAAAAGCCCACTAGAAAATAAAAATTGGGATGCTGGCAACAATAATGTTTTCACAGTGCTTTATGAGGAGCAATCGTTTTCAAAGCACCCCCTTATCAATGCCCATATGATGAGGGAAGAAACAACAGCTCAGAGGGCTCCAGAGACTTGTCAAAGGCTATAGGGTCAGAAAGGGAGACTGTGACTCCAAATTCTATCTTCTTTCCACTACATCCCATGTGGAATTACATATGGTTCTTACCAAAATATCTTCAGAATCATGCACATCACTGATGGACAGTCCATTTAATTGCTGTTGCAGCTGTCCCATGGCCTGAGGCAGGTCTCGTGATGGAATGAACCAGTCTTGGTCTTCTTCATCCAGCATCTCCTGGAAGCAGCGGTCCAAAAAGTCTTGCTCCTGTAGCTCCTCCTCAACCTAGCAAGCAAAGGGGAGCAGCTCAGACTAACTGTCTCGGTGGGACTTTTTCCTTCCAGTTTTTTCTCCACCTCTTTCCTTCAGAGGTTATTACTTTGCAATTATGAATGTTCTCATATGAGGTCTAAGAATTAAGGTGCTTCTAATGACTAGCTAGATAAAATGTAATTTTTAGTTTTTTCAACCAAATTCCATCAGAAGACTGAGGAAATTATTGTTAAAAATAGCAGAAATTCTGCACAACTAAAGAAACTGTCAAGAGAGCAAACAGACAACCCACAGAATGGGAGAAAATTTTCACAAGCTACACATCCAATAAAGGGCTGATAACTAGAATCTATTTAGAACTCAGGAAAATGAGCAAGGAAAAATCAAACAACCTCATCAAAAAGTCAGCAAAGGACATGAACAGAGACTTTACAAAAGAAGACAGAATAATGGCCAACAAACCTATGAAAAAATGCTCAACATCTCTAATCATCAGGGAAATGCAAATCAAAACTATAATGAGATATCACTTATCTCCAGTGAGAATGGCCTTTATTAAAAGGTCCCAAACAATAAATGTTGGCATGGATGCAGAGAGATAGGAATACTCCTACATTGCTGGTGGGACTGCAAGCTAGTTCAACCTCTGTGGAAAGCAATATGGAGATACCTTTAAGCGATACAAGTAGATCTACCATTTGTTCCAGCAATCCCATTACTGGGCATCTACCCAAAAGAACAAAAATCACTCTATAAAAAAGACACCTGCACGCAAATGTTTACAGCAGCACAATTCACAATTACAAAGATGTGGAAACAACCCAAGTGCCCATCAATACATGAGTGGATTAATAAAATGTGGTATATGTATACCATGGAGTACTACTCAGCTATAAGAAACAACGGTGATATAACACCTCTTGTATTTTCCTGGCTACAGCTGGAACCCATTCTATTAAGTGAAGTATCCCAAGAATGGAAAAATAAGCACCACATGTACTCATCATCAAATTAGTATTAACTGATCAACACCTAAGTGGACATATAGGAATAACATTTATCGGGTGTTGGGCAGGTGGGGCAAGGGAAATATACGTAACCTTAACATTTGTACCCCTATAATATGCTGAAAAAAATAAAAAGTAAATAAATGACAAAAAAATAGCGGGAATTCCAGCTCTTCATAGATCATCTAAGATGTCTAATATATGACACAGATATTTTCCACTTAGATAAATGATACTTATGGAAAATAATTTTAGAACTTGAAATTCTTTTTTTTTTTTGGCTCTGTTGCCCAGGCTAGAGTGCCATGGCGTCAACCTAGCTCACAGCAACCTCCAACTCCAGGGCTCAAGTGATCCTCCTGCCTCAGCCTCCCGAGTAGCTGGGATTACAGGCACGTGCCACCATGCCCAGCTAATTTTTTCTATATATTTTTAGTTGGCCAATCAATTTATTTCTATTTTTTAGTAGAGACGGGGTCTTGCTCTTGCTCAGGCTGGTCTGGAACTCCAGAGCTCATACCATCCACCCGCCTCTGCCTCCCACAGTGACAGGATTATAGGCATGAACCACCGCGCCCGGCTGAAATTCTCTTCTCAATCTTGTTAAGATGCAACCCTTCCTAAATTTCCCATTTTATAAAAAGTATGAAAAAGATATGGGAAGGATGTTACTAGTGTACTACCTGAATAGAAGAGATTAAATAAAACCAATTGCCTCAGCTTCTGGCCCACTTTTTGGGTAATAAGACCCCCAAGCAAGAAAAATACTTTCAGAACCTTTGAAAGACTTTATTAAAGAACACTTTTTCTTGGGGTGGGGGGTAAGGGCAACATTTGTAACCTTAACATTTGTGCCCCTATCATATGCTGAAAAAAAAAACATATGCTGGAAAGAAAAAAAGAACACCTTTTGGCACACCACTAGAAAAACAAGATGAAATAATATATCAATATTTAAACAACTCCATATTTCTTAAACATTGCTCTAAACCAAATCAATGTATATCTAGAATATTTTACACTTCTTTGCATACATTGTTAACTCTTACAAAGAGTGTAGTTCACTCTGCAGATTTTAGTGTGACTAACGGGCCTCTTGTTTCACATTTGGCAATTTCTTTCCTGCAGGCTACCTGGTGACAGATTCATAGCTCACCACCGCCAGCACCAGAAGGGAGGCCAAGCCCATACAGTTACCTAATGAATTCAGAGGAAAAGTCACTGGTAGCAAGACTTAAGAATAGTATTTTGGCCAGGCGCAGTGGCTCATGCCTGCCATCCCAGTACTTCGGAAAGCCGAGGTAGGAGGATCACTTGAGGCCAGTTTGAGACCAGCCTGGGCAACACAGCAATATATTGTCTCCACAAAAAAATTTTTTAAAAATTAGCCAGGTGCAGTCTTGCACTTACAGTCCTCACTGCTTGGGAGGCTGGGGATGGAAGATTGCTTGAGCCCAGGAATTCAAGGCTGTAGTAAGCTATGATTGTGCCACTGCACTCCAGCCTGGTGACAGAGTGAGACCCTGTCTCCAAAAAAAAAAAATAGTATTTCAACATTACAATCAGCCACACATTTTCTGATCTCAAGTAAATTAGATAGCTATGAAGTGCTTAAAATAACAACAATAAGATATTTCCTAGCCACAAGATTTAACATGAGTTAGGTGGTCTGGATAGAAGATCAAACCAGCCACAACATTGCCTTAAGCCAAAGCCTAATCCAGACTAAAGCCCTAATTCTGTGAAGGCTGAGCCAGGTGAGAAGGCTGAAGAAGAAAAGTTTGAAACTAACAGAGGCTGGTTCACGAGGTTTAAGTCTCTATAATATAAAAGTATAAGGTGAAGTAAGGCTGATATAGAAGTTACCTAGAAGTTCTAGCTGAGAGAATTGATGAAGGTGGCTTCACTAAACAACAAGTTCTCAATGTAGACAAAACAGCCTTTTGTTTTGTCAGAAGATGCCATCTAGAACTTTCATAGCTAGGGAGAAGTCAATGCCTAGCTTCAAAGCTTCAAAGGACAGGCTTACTTTCTCGTTAGGGGCTAGCACAGCTGATAACTTTAAGTTAAAGCCAATGCTCATTTACCATTCTGAAAATTCTAGGGCATTTAAGAATTATGCTAAATCTATTCTGCCTGTGCTCTATAAATGGAACAACAAAGCAAAGATGACAGCACATATGTTTACAGCACAGTATAATAAATATTTTAAGCACACTGTTGAGACCTACTGCTCAGAAAAAAATATTATTGCTCATTTTTTTTTTTTTTTTTGAGACACAGTCTCACTCTGTTGGCCTGGTGCCGTGGCATCAGCCCAGGTCACAGCAACCTCAAACTCCTAGGCTCAATCGATCCTCCTGCCTCAGCCTCCCGAGTAGCTGGGACTACAGGCACACGCCACCATGCCCAGCTAATTTTTTCTATATATTTTTAGTTGGCCAATTAATTTCTTTCTATTTTTAGTAGAGACAGGGTCTCGCTCTTGCGCAGGCTGGTTTCAAACTCCTGACCTTGAGTGATCCGCCTGCCTCAGCCTCCCATAGTGCTAGGATTGCAGGCGTGAGGCACCTGCTCGTCCAAGGAGCAGCAGGATTTGAGAGGATTGTCTCCAATTTTGAAAGAAGTTCACTGTGGGTAAAATGCTATCAAACAGCATTGTATGCTACAGAGAAATCTTTTGTGAAAGGAAGAGTCAATTGATGCAGCAAACTTCATTTTTGTCTTTTTTTAAATTTTAAAATTAAAAAACTTATTTCCTATATAGAGACAGGATTTTACTGATTCAAACTCTTGGGCTCCAGTGATCCTCCCACCTCCGCCTCCCAAGTAGCTGGGACTATAGGCATGTACCACCGTGCTTGGCTCTACTGTCCTATTTTAAGAAATTGCCACAGCCATTCTAACCTTCAGCAACCACCACCCTGACCAGTCAGCAAACATTAACATTGAGGCAAGACCCTCCACCAGCAAAAAGATTATGATTTGCTGAAGGCTCAAATGATTGTTAATATTTTTTAGCAATAAAGTATTTTTTAATAAACATATGTATATTGTTTTACACATAGTGCTTTTGGAACTCAACAGACTACAATGTAGTGTAAATATAACTTTTATGTGCATTGGGAAACCAAAAAATTCATGTGATTCCAAAGGAATGTGAATCTCTTGGTGACACCCTTTGAGATCAGTGTACACCAGCTGTCCTATTCCACAGCTCCCCTAAAAACTAGACTGACTGGGGACACAGCAGCAGGGTTGGCAGTAGGGGCAGAAGTAAGTAGTACATCAGGAATTGGTATTTTCCTTGGGTTGGCTTTCTGCTCCCCTTCCCTATCCCAATAGCAGCTTCAACTACGCAGAAGTAAAAACAGAAAAAACAACAAAAACAAAAACCTTTCAATGTGACTAGCCAATTCCAGGTTTTGATGAATTCACAAGGCAGACAGAACAGTGGTCGGCAGAAGGTACTCGTACCATTACGGTGGCGAACCAGCAACTAGATCCAATGGGCAAAGAGCACGTGAATTGATTCACATAGGCAATTGTGGGCGGGAGGAATGGAGTGCAAGATTTCCTATTACCCAAATCAGGAATCAATACTGTTTTCTCCACCATTCCCAAATAATGACTGTTTACATATTCCCAGGAGAAGGTGCCACAGTGCTTTCCAATAGGTGGACAGTCTCAAATCTTGGCAGATCTGTGGTCTCTACTTGGTTTCCATACCGTACAATATCAACTAAATGCAGAGAAGATTATAGCCTGTAGATGGTGGACTTATTGAAGAGTCCTGGCCTCTCCAAGTCACAGCAGGGGTTAGGACTGCATGGGGTTTGCGAGCAGTCTAATGCAAGAAGATGTATTCAAGGTGTTTTCTTTGGCTATCTCTCACACAACTTGCTCTCTCACACGTAGTTAACTGCTAGAGGTTTGCCCCTGACTTCCTTACTTACCACCCCCTCTCCAAAATCAGGCAAAATTTTGCCATTTAACAATAAGCAT